ATGACAACTGCAGAACTTGGTCTTTCTAGATCGGATCTCACCTCTTCCCATAGAATCTACTGAAAGAAAGACTTCTGATTCAAGGATCTAGTCCTCTAATTCAACAGTGGGCAAACAAAAGAATCTCTAGGGGAGGGTCACAACCAAGGACTCCAAATTACAAGTTTGGGCTTCACCCATCTGTCTTCTAGGCCTTGTCACCTGTCTCAGAGATGCAGCCATGTGACCTCTGTTGTTAGCCTGCTCCCAGGAATGCCTGTCACCAGATGTCCACCACCCTCAACTACTTCCAGTCATTGGAAAACCAGAATGTGAGAGGAATGTTCTGGATACTTCAGGGTTTTGGATGGCTCTCCCTATGTAGACAAGGAGCCCTTTTCTGTAGCCACAGTAGACAGCATCCCTTGTGGCCCCCAAGCATGGGACCGAGGGGGTTCTGGGCAGTTAGCACCTCCTTCTAGGCAGCCCAGGGGTGTCTGCCCAAGGGTTTATTATACAGGTGGTTTGTTTACTTATTTTCATGCCTCTCAACATCCTTCCATGCTCCACCCTCACACGACTGGGCTGCACCCTCACACACACCAGCACACTGCCTGGGCTAATGTGCCCTACCCAGCATCAAAACGCACATCTTCCATACAAGTGAGACGTTCAGATTCTTTCTCTTCTCCCAAAGCTCACGGAGATAGAAAACATGCTTCTATTTGGTCTCCAGGAGAAAGAAACCAAACCTTGCAAATCCCCGGGGAGACACTTTCATTTTACTTTTGTGGCATCACCTACTAGAAGTGTCCTGGCACCCTTCCCAAATGCATGAGCCTTGGGAGAGGCAGCTGCGTGTGGGTGCCAGTGCATCTGTAGTGAAGCTGGCCTCTCGATAATGGGACTCATCTGGTTCTCCCCATTAGGCTATAAACTTTGCAGGGTAACCAATTATTCCTGTTTTTTTCTGGGTAATTCCTGTGCCCAGTCTGGTGCTGCTCTGTGTCGGGCAGGTGTTCAGTAAACACCACCAGCAACATGAACTGAGTCCTTAGCCCTCATGAATAAGAAAACGCCCACATTCATTGTCAAAGGTTGGGTTTTAGTGTGTGTGTGTGTGTTTTTTTTTTTTTTAAGATTTATTGGATTCTGTGTGTGTGTGTGTGTGTGTGAAAGACACAGAGAGGGAGGAATGCGTCAGGGATGTGGGTAGACTGACAGTGGATGACGTTAAAGTACACGGAGACAGAAAGCACAGGCGCTCACGATGAGCCAGCTGGCACCCAGGGACCCGTGTACCAGGGACCCTTTCAAGTGTACTTATACACACACATCTATTTTTAAATGATGGAGTGACTTTCTGGTTCAAGACTGTGATTTCAGGTGCCTTATCCCCTCCCACAGCACAACTGTGGGAACATGTGCTCCAGGACCATCAGCTCTCAGTGTGACAAGTGTCCAGACCTCAAGGACACACAGCCTGTACCTTCAGTGAAGCTGGGGGAGCTTCTCCTTCCAAAGCATGAGCTCCTTCATGAGGCCGGGCATCCATTCTGGGATGGCAGACACGTGGGTGTGGCCACTGGATGTTGGGGCCCCAGAATCCTAACCTCACGGGGCGCCCTCCAGCGGAGTGAGGTCAGGAGGTACCACGTGGCAGAAGAGCCAGGACCCAGGGGCGGAGGGGTTGGACGAGTCAGGCCATCCTTCAGGGTGTCAGGGCTGGTCTGTGAAAGCAGACACCATCCAGACGCGCTCTTCGTCGCGACGGGGAGACGGCGGGCCCTGAGGGCAGCAGCAAGCAGCCTCCGTTGGGCCTCATGTCCCCTGCGCTGGGATTCCCACAGGACAAACAACTAGACAGACGAGTCCCTTCCTGTGTGTGTTCTTTCAAAATTTTTGACTTTTTAAAAAAGGGCTATAAAAACATCCCGTTGTTTCCCTGTTGGACTGGAAAGCAGTCAGAACAAGTGGATAATGTGCCTTGACGAATAAGAATGGAAGCTTTTTGGTGACAGAGACTCACGCCTGAGTCCTAGCTCTCACCTGCTTACTGGTGCTGTGATATGGTGAGTTTCTGGAACTTTACAAGCCTGGGCCTGCCCATCATTGAAGTGGGTTCAAACAGCACCTGCTTCGCTAGGAAGACTGAGTTACTGTGTCCAACATTCTGACACATAGTAACCTCTCAAGATTAACGGCAGTTGCTGTGGTTCAGGGTTCCCATTACCCAGGATTCATGTTATCGGCAAACACCAGAGCAGCCAGAGCAGTGTCACAAAGTACAAGCATAAAAGCCCAGGTACTCTATTCACACAGCCATGCCCAGACTCACCGACTTATCTAAACTCTGAGAGCAATGATAACAGCGGACACTGGGCAGCCCCTCCCCAGGTGCTGGATTATACGCTGGGTCCTCGCGGCCTCAGGAGGAACAGATCTGTCCCATTTTGCAGGTGCAAGGATGGAGACTGACACGCTGAGTGACCCACCTCAGGGCAGAGCGATTAAGGGGGGGACCCGGGATGGGAGCCCACACAGCCCGTCTGATGCCGGTCCACTTCCTTGCTCAGTGTGCCTCACTGCCTCCTGGTCTTCTTGGTGACCCCTTCAGGCCTTGACAGGTCTGGAAAAGCTGAGGCTGGGGGAGCTGCAGGGACACTGATAGCCAATGGGGTGGGGGGTCACAGTGAGCCCAGAAGGGGAGGGGATAAAGCACCATGGAGAGAGGCCTCCTCGCCACAGCCATCCAGGCCCAGGCACTCGGGGAGCCAGGTCACCCCCATATTTAAAGGTCCCTGAGAGCATCCTTCTTCCCTGGCAGTGTGCATGGATTTTCACTGGGCCATCAGGAAAAACCAGATCGTGTGCTCAGGAGGAAGACACTGAGGGGGACACAGTGACATGGAAGAGGCAGAGTCCCTCGGGACGGCTCAGTGATGATGGACGCCCAGTGACTATGTCGTACGAATTAGGTCCCGCCTCCCACAAACGCTGCACATGATTCCAGGAAGCCAAGGAAACACCAACGCCAGGGCCCGTCTGGCTAATCTCTCATAAAGTGTTGCTTTGACTCATCGTTTAATTCAGCCCCATTTCTATCAAGTCTTTAGACAAGTCTGCACCATGTCTCGGGGTCCAGGATCATCTCTAGCGGGTGAGCAGTGCAAGGTCCCCCACCTGGGTCCCGCAGGTGAGGTAAGGAGCCGTGCCGGGGGAGTGAAGATGATCTAAACACCCACAACAAAATCCCAGGAAAGACACATTATTGGGCAGCATTCGGGATGCTGGCGGCACACTGGGGGTGGGGGGGGGGAGTCGGCCTACTGGGGGAAGGGATGGCCCTCGCTGGGGCGGGCAGGCATCCCACCTCCCGGTTCAAACCTCCACGTTCACTGTACTTGTTTACATCGTGGTCTCCAGGTTCCACAAAACCAGCGTTCCAGGTTTCAAAATGGGGCCGATCAGAAAGCAACCACTTGAAAACATTCAAACCAAAGTTGAAAAGGTGTGAAAACAGGCATTTTGAACTGACAGAATCCCAACAACGACTCCCTCAATGGAGTCTCTGTTTCTGGTCGTCTGTGCAGGGAGTCCCTTCCGGACCTCAGAGTCCCCTCTCTTGGGCCCACGCTCACCTCAGCCTGCGGGCCAGACGGGGGGTTGCAGACGCCCCCCCTGAGGTTAGGGTCTCCAGTTTAACAAGGGAAATCCCAAACGCTCAGTTGTGTATCAGTTTCAGATTTAACAGAGTGATTTTCCACCATGAGTTAAGGGCACGTTCATAGTAAGAAATGGCTTGCTGTTGGGGCACCTGGGGGGCTCAGTCGGTTGAGTGTCCAACTCCAGCTCAGGCCATAATCTCAGTTCATGGGTTCGAGCCCCGTGTTGGGCTCTGCTGACAGCTCAGAGCCTGGAGCCTGCTTTGGATTCTGTGTCTCCCTCTCTCTCTGCCCCTCCTCTGCTCACGCTCTGTCTGTTTCTCTCTCTTTCTCTCTCTCTGTCTCACTCTCAAAAATAAATAAACATTAAAAATTTTTTTAAAATCATTTGCAGTTTATCTGAAACTCAGATTTAACTGTGCACCCACATGTCATCTGACGTGTCCCCTGGGGGGATTTGGGGAGGGTGGGCAGGGGGGGCTGGGCTCCAAGGACACCCCTGCCGCTGATGCTCCGGCATCCCCTCTGCCCCACTCCCTGCCAAAGCTCCAGCCCCCGCCCACACCAAGTCCAAGTCCCTGGGGAGGCGCTTCCCAGACTCCCTGGGCCTCTTCCCGAGCTGCAGCTCTGGTGTCTTGTTTCCCAGGAGAGGCCACAGGGGCTGCGGGCTGCGGATGGGCTCCTGGCTGGAGCTCTCTTCCCCATCCCGCCCGCCGGGCTCAGATGCCCAGAAGCAACCTGGTGTTTGTTCTTCCATCATAATTTCAAGCCCTGCATGAAAGGGAGGGCGGAGCCAGGGTGCCCACCTTTCCTGGCAGAAGTCTGTATGGCTCGACCCCCCGCTGATCAGGGCCCCTTCATGAACCGCACTCTAGAACAATGACAGACCACTAGGAAGGGAAACCACTGGGAAGGGGACCTGGGTTTCAGGCTTCCAAGTGTGTGCTCCCAGCAAAGCATTTACAGCCAAGCCATTAAGTGCTCAGAAATAGGAAGAAACATTGACACGACAATAAAACAGGGGTGAGATTAATGGCGCCATAACACAACCTGTTTTCATTTAGTGCCGAGAAAATTAATTTTTGAAGACATTTCATTTAACTCTGCAATATTGTGCAGTTTAACCTCTGACGCTTGGAACTTTTCTCTTTTATCCCCTTTAAGCCTAGGACGGGGGAGGCCGGTCTTACGACGGTTGTTAAGTTCTGCCTCTCGGCCAAGGGCCAGCCTCGCCGCCTCGACTCGGGCCAGACTCGGGCCACGTGCCTCGGGGAACAGGAGCTACTGCGTAGACCGTAAGGCTCAGCTCTCCTAGTGCAACGTCCGCTTCAGTAACCCCAGATCCAACCTGCTTACCTTCCAGAGCAAGGCACCGGGGTGGGCTGGACGACCAGATGAGGGTGTGTAAACACTCGAGATACTCCGACCCCTCCAGCTTAAACCCAGGAAAGCAGTGGTAGGAGATGACAGTCCCCACGGGGAAGGAGGTCTGGAGCTCGGAGATGTTCACATAGCCGTTGGAAGACGAGAGCGGCCTCAGGCAGCCTGGGATGGGGAGGGAAGGGGACGGTCTTGCTCGGTCACCTCTGTGCCACCTTCAAGACCACCCCTCCCGCGGATTCGTCCACTGGAAGCGTGGCCTGGCCTCTGAGGACTGAGCACCGTGACCAGACCTCCCCAACCGCTCACCTACTGTATTCGTGACGCGGATGTTAGGTTTTACAGCTGCACACGGCAGGGAGGGTCAGGGCAGTGGGGGTGGGGGGGTGGGGAGGGCATGGCTGGGGGGCCCTGGCGGGTGGTCGCAGCCCTGACTGCACCTTAGAATCACCCGAGGAACTTTCAACAAACACCAATGCCTGGCCCCGTGCCCCGGGTCCATGGAAAGCCTGGATGCTCCCCCGGAAATTAAAATGTGCTGCCGGGTTGAGACCCTCTGTGGGGAGAACGAACACCCCGACTGTTTCAAAGTTGGGGGGTGGGGAGCCCGGGGGGCTCGAGACGGCTGTCACGCAAACCCCCTTCTGCTGTGCCTGGTCCAGCATCATTCAACCCGAAGCCCCAGCTGTGTTTTATGTGTCGTGGGTGTGGGGCCCCCACTCTCAGCCTTGACAGTGACCTGGACAGAGGGTGTCATAGGACAGACTGGTGGGGCCTCCCCTGGCCTCAGGTTTGGGTCCGAGTGGAGCCCAAGGATGGGCGCTAAGGTTCCCCGGTGCCGGTGCAGACTGGGGCCGCTGCGGAGTGCCTGCGAGGGGAGTCCGTGCAGCACACCCCAGGTAGTGGAGCTGCAGCCTGCACTCCCACACCTCTGCAGCCTGGTGGGACATCCCCAGCGGCACAGACCCGCTCTGTGGCATCCACGGCGACCACAGGGTCTCTATTGCCTTCAGCGGTTTCGCTGGCGGGGCTAACAGCCCTGCTGAGCCCATGCTCTTCCTGGGGAGAACTAGCTGTGAGAGCAGTAAAGAATGTATGATGGAAATCCCTCCTGTCCCTTCCAATCAGCAAGTACAAATGACACTGCAGCCACCGCAGCAGGGGACCGAGCCCTCCTTCTAGGAGACTGTGTTACATGTCAGAAGCTTCAGAGAGCTTGGTCTTCTGAAACTGCTTTGGTCAGCAAACCGGTAGGCGATGTCTGTACACAAGGGCGAGAGCAGTGTGTGGCCAAAGGGCCCTCCACCCCCTCCCCCCTGCAGCAGAATTTTGGGAGACCTGCTCTGGGGCTGACCATGCACGGCTGTGTGCTGCTGCCACAGAGATCTGGGGACCCAACAGCCCACTTCCCAGAGCAGCTAACACCCAGGGTGGACCACAGCTGAGACATACTGCCACGTGACCTCTCCACGGCCTTAAATGAACACTAACAGTGTTTGTCACAAAAGTGAAACGTCAGAGAGCAGGGGCAGGTTGGGAATCAGGAACGAAGAGAATAGTTGAGAAGAAAGGACAGGCATGTCAGTGTGAACACGTGATGCATCTGAACCCCGAGCACAGTTCAAATGTGCCGACACGGGGACCCTGGCCTCCTCCCGGAAGGAGTGCGGTTCTGAGCCGCCCCCACGGCTAAGCTGGCCTCCCCTAAGGAAAAAGGGCCTTGGGACAGTGCTCCCCCACAGCCCACCTGCCTGCAAGCAGACAGAAGGTGAGTAGTAAGTCAGAGAAAGAAAGATGCTGTGTGGTTGGAGGCGGCAGGTTCTAAACGCAGCAGGAGAAGACGGCCTTTGACTCCACAGTCAGTGGGATGCCTATTTGCACCTCCAGATAACAGACGGCAGCTCCTCCTTGGGCTTCAGCCCCTGGATCTGTAGGTGCAAATGAAAGCCACCACCGGGTGGAATGTCATTCTAAGGCCAATTATCTTCTCCCTAGGGCTCTGAGGAGGAGGAGGAGTCGGGCTGTCTTGGGCAGCCAGACTCCTCACGCCCACAGGGCAGGGCACAGGCAAGTGCTGGGGCAGGGGCAGTGCCTTTAAGCAGCCAGGCAGGTGGAGGGGAGGGCAGGGCAAGGCCCCGGGGGGAGGGGAAGGGAAGAGGGGGTGCAGACTGTGGCCCTAGTGGAGGTGGGAAGAGCAGGGGCTCCAATGGAGTGGGAGCAGGGCAGGGGCCCCAGTGGAGGGGGGCAGGGCCCAGACGGGGCCACAGGAGAGATGAGGGCTGCAGAGCTGACGGAGGAAGCAAGACTCTTCCCTCCTGCGCTGAGATCCAAGTGTGGGGCAGTGGACGGAGGGGGGCATAAGGAGAGCCACCCCTGAGCCCCTGATAAGGACCCACCATCAGGTGTTTTTATAAAAATAACTGGGACCAAAAGAGTTCATAAAGGGGCAGGGGGTGCTCCAGTGACGTGAAAGGGAGCCTTCAGAAAGTGGGGGAGCAGCAGGGCAGGTGCGCGGGGTTTCTGAGGAGAGGCCACAGCGTGGTGCATGCCCCCCCCCCCCCCCCCCCCCCCGCCCACTCCAGCGTTCACAGAAGGAAATCACTTCTCTCCAACCGCGGCTCGGCTCACAGAGCCTGACAGCTGGGACCCCCCATGCGCGGGGCTCGCGCTGGTCGTCAGGGGCCCTAGCCAGCTCTGGCGGAAAGCCAGCCTCCCTCCCCCAAATTACCAATTACACACGGGCTTCTCAGGCCTTCGCTCCAGGTCACGCGTCAGAAAACAGAATCAGAGCTGATGTGAATGTGGGGACTTGTTTTCACAAACGGGGGCCCTCAACGTTGGCCCAGGCAAATTTTAAAAATGCAAGAAATATTCATCGTGCAGTTTGGAGAAAATCTGAATTTGATTATTCTTCTGATCCTCATGCATTATAAAAAGGGATCACGTTATTGAGGAAAAAACAGTCTCTGTGATATTAGCTAGCTTTATGTATATTCTCACCACCACTGAAATGAGTATAAATGCTGTTATTTTCGTTAAATATACAATAATTTGTCATCGTGCTCACGGCCCAGTAACTGGCCTCCTACCTGCTAAACTACTTCTGTTTCTTAGTGTGAAGGAGAATCCAACGTGCTGAGCAATGAGATATTCCTGCCACCGCTTTTGCCGGGAGGGTGTGGGGATTCCGACACCAGCGCAGGGGGAGCAGGGCCAGACCTGGCCCCCCCACCTGTCAGGGACACATGCTCTGCACCCCCCCACCTGTCAGGGACATGCGCTCCACACCCCCTGCCTGTCAGGGACACGCACTCTGCACCCACCTTGACACAGGGGCAGGTTGTCCCAGGTCCCGTCATCGCGACACAGCGAAACCATGTTGTACAGGTCAGGGTAACGGATCTTGAACCCTTCGTGACAGGTGACAACCAGCTTATCTCCGTGTCTGTAGGTCTTGTTACGGATGTCAGCGTCTTCCACCTGAGGGACGCGGCAATCTGCAATGGCAGGGACAGGACGCGTTATTATCCCGACTCAAACTGGTGGTGGTTCCCAGCTTCACTCCTATTCCCAGACCTGACCTCAGGCTCCACTCTGGGTCAGGTTCTGCCCGCAAGCAGCACAGCCTGCTTCTCAGGGACACCGGGAGGGACACGGGAAGGGACACGGGAAGGGACATGGGAAGGGACACGGGAAGGGACATGGGAAGGGACACGGGAAGGGACATGGGGAGAGACACGGGAGGACACAGGGAGGGACACGGGAAGGGACACAGGAAGGGACACGGGGAGGGACATGGGGAGGGATACAGGAAGGGATGGAGGGACACAGGGAGGGACACGGGAAGAAGATTCAGTCACGAAAATAACTTCATCTCCTGCCTGTGACACTTGATACCCCAGGGGTGAGCTCTCGGTGATTCTGGAAATGAGTGAAGGAACACAAGAGCTGGGGGTTCATGACGCCACGCATGGAGTGGGGTCCCGTGTGGCCCACCGCCTCAGCCTCTGGGGACAGAGGGGGCCAAGGCGGGACTGCACCTGCTAGCATTTCCCAAGAGTTCGGGGCAAGAGGCTGTACGGCCTCCCGAAAGCGCAGCTGGAGCAGGTGCAGAGATAAGGAGGGCACGGCCATCCGGACGAGGGTCCGAGGAACAAGAAGTCCACACAGCAAATGATCAAGAGATAAGATAAAGTGAGTGGAGTCTAACCTGCTGCCTCCAGTGCCGTCTCCCCCCTGCTCACCGCACAGCCGCCCCCTCTCAGTCCGCACCTCTGACTCACATGCCCAGAAGCCCAAGAAGTTTATTCCCGCTGTCCGAGTGAGGAGGCCCCCCTTAAGGTGGGCTGTGCTCCAGGCTTCGGAAGTTTTAAGAGAATTCTTGCTGAACCCCCATGGCTGGAGCAGGTCCTGACCTTCCAGGTCCCCGAAGCTCTGAACCGTCAGCCCTGAGGCCTGAGCCTGGGAGGCCTGAGGCGGCAGAGGGAAGGCGGCCTGGAGCTCTGACATGGGGCTGGGTTTACCGGGAGCAGAGAAGAAATGCCACCCAGGCACGGGACCCAGACAGCCCCGGGTCCCCTCCCTCCAGGCCTTCCCTTGGCCTGAGGATTTCCACAGCGGCCGTCCTGGCTGGAAACGTGGTCCTGCCTCTAAGTCAACCTCTTGGTTTTGAGCTTTGGACGGTGGGAGGGCATTTCCACCTGCTCACATTTAACCAACCAACAGTCTCCCACCACAACAGCCGCGTCCCCCAGAATTGGTGCTGGAAGAATCCTGACCTTCTCAATGGAAAACATGAGTCACATTTTTCAATATCACGATGCAGGAACTACTCGCAGCAGATACAAACACATTTATTAAGTCCCCCGTCTATAAAACCTCGCCGTAAATCGACCCTGGGGCAGGAATCTACGTGACCAAACAGCCATTTCCACAGCTGACTTGGGACTTGTCTAGTAAGTGGCCCGTGGGCTCAGGAGGCTGCCAGCTTCAGGGAGTCAAGCCCACGGCCACCGAGGGCATGCCAACACCAGCCCAGCACGGGCAGAAGCCTCGCCCGTGATCGAGGTAACACAGAGGGCTCTGAACTCCCACCTACAAGCCCGTGTCCACGGGCAGGAGCTGGGGACACAGGCAGGGCATGTGACACAAAGGTCACAGGGAACCACAGCCTCCCAGCCTCTGCTCAGAGAGGGGTCACCACGGGGAGCGGCAGAGGACCGTCTGCTGGGGGACAGGGGTGCGCACCGACCTGAGGGCGGGAGGCTAGACTCTGAGCTCCTGTAAGCTGTGCCCGGACAAAGGACAGAACTGAAACAGACAAGCTGTAATAAACCCTAAGTCACACCTGGACAGGAGCGAATGGCACATGGAACCACAGTGTCTGGTGCCCAGTGTCCCCTCTGGGCGAGGGGGTAGGAAGAATCGAGTGTACCCCACCCAGCTGCCTGTAGCCGTAAATAGCTACGGACATTATTTCTGTGGAAACAGATAAGCCACAATCTGTAGAGTCAGAAAATAATGTAATCTTTGTCAATTCTGAAGTTTCAAATGGAAGTAACTCAGGTTTTCTATAGCACAAATGCATCCAGTCAGCAGCAAGAAGTTTTAAAAGCCACTGTAAAAACCACCACTACCGAGGGCTGTTAACACAGGTCCATCAGTATCGATTCGGTCGTGCAGAACGGGGTCAACGATCCAATCCTTGGTAGACGGCGCTCAAATGGGAACTTTGGGGATGTAACCGAGATTATCAAAGGCTTCCCTCCTAGAAATTCACCCGCCCGCCATTGCTGCCAGTGGCCCTGCTTTAGCACAGGATTTAATATCATAAACAGACAAAGGAGGGGACATTAAAGCAGTGTTACGCATTTATGCTGAAGAACAGATGAACTGATCACAGCAGTTAGCACACAGCAGGGTCCTGACGAATGGAGCAGAAAAGGCAAAAAGAAGTTTTAAGAATATGTACCACGCACAAGATTTACTTCCCTTTATAAGTGTTATATGTGAAAATGAATCCGATTCCCTAAAATGCCAGCTTCTGACATCAATGCCAGAAGGCATTTCCAGGAACTCGAGTTCGTAATCCACACTCGAGATCCCCAGTTCATAGCTGCACATCACAGGCTCTGGAGTCCTGCTGTAAAGGCCTCTGGATTTTGTGTAGACCAGCATCTGCGAGGTTCATTATTTACTCGTCTGTCTGTCCTGTTCACTGGCTCGCTCACGCACTCATCAGTGGGCCACTGAGCATCGCTCCTCATGCTGAGCACAGACAGACAGTTGGGAACGGCACCTTATGGAGCTGCGTGCAGAGTGAGGAGACAGGTGAGCTAAAGAGACGGGCCGCGATCGAAGCTCTGACGAGCAGGGCCCAAGGTCATGCACAGACACTAACCAAGGGCCCCTTGGATTTGGGAAGATGGGACAGGAGCCCCCAGGAGATGACATTTGTTAACGGAGCTCAACGCAGATTCGGGAGAAGAAGGTTTCGGGCACAGGGAACAGCTGTGTGTCGTGGGTCCGAGACACAGTGAGCAAGAGGGAGGCCAGGCCAGTCCCCACAGCGCCTTGCAGAGCAGGGCAGGGATCTGGGGTTGACTCTGTGCAACGTGCAGCTCCTGAAGCTTGTGAAGCATGGGCTGTGACACGCTGCGACTCTGGTACTTGAAGACTGCCACACACGCCCTGAGGGATTACCTGGCCCAAAGAGAGGCCTGGTCTTTGCCCTCAGGCCGTGGGTCATGACCTCCCTAGGACACCCTCCCCAGGCTGAGTGTCTGTTCATTGGGAGCCTCCGGGCCACAGCAGACGCTCTGTGCTGATGCTGTGACTGAGGCCACGGAGCCTGGGTCCTGCGGGGGACCCGCTCTGCTTCTGGGGAGCTGGAGGCTGAGCCGTGTGTGGGGCTGACCCTGCCCATGTGGCTGGGCCCCGGGGACAGTGCTGGACACTGCAGTTCAGGGGAGCTTCCTCAGTGTCAGCATTCATGGGGCTGTCACATGTCGCTGCTGGGAGAAATGGGCACCGTCCACACCGTGCCACCGCCACGGGACAAGTGGGGAAAGGGCGCCAGAGGCGTGTTCAAGAGTGTTTGCAGCAGCACCGCAGCGCTCCCCTCAGCGCCCACAGCCGGCCAGCAGACGGTCCTCTGCTGACCATACACTATGTCACCTGGCCGTGTCACTCACCTCACATGGTCTCCCCACGTGGACATCTCATCCTCGCTGACCCTCACAGAAGGTAAGGGCAGGACAGCAAAATGTTTAGGGAGAGACAGACCACGTTCACATTCTGTTATTATGGTGTATTGTTATGAGTATTCTACTTTTTAAACCATTTTTGAGACAGAGAAAGAGAAAGAGCACACACAGGGGAGGGACAGAGAGAGAGAGGGAGACACAGAATCTGATACAGGCTCCAGGCTCTGAGCTGTCAGCACAGAGCCCGACGCGGGGCTCGAACCCACAAACCGTGAGATCATGACCTGAGCCGAAGTCGCACACTTAACCAACTGAGCCACCCAGGTGCTCCATATAATTATTCCATTTTATAATTAATGATTATTATTTATCTCTACCTATATCTAATTTTTAAGTTACACTTTGTCATAGGTGAGTACGTACAGGAAAACACACAGTTACACAGGGTTTGGTATCATCCACGGTTTCAGATGTCTACTGGTGGCCTCCGAACCCATCCTCCATGGATAAGGGGGGACGCCTGCACTTGTAACAGACCCAGTTAGAAAAATCCTGAATGTCCATTAACATCAGAATGTTCAAATTCTGGTCTATTTATAACAGAACACTATGCAAATGTACCAACTACAGCTGCATGGAAAGTAGGCGTGAATTTCACAAACAAGTAAAAAAGTCTAACTTAAAATACTCACTGTATAAATCCATGTATATAAATTCAAAAATAAGGCAAAAGTAAGTTAAAGTGGTGTCGTATTTGGGAATACACACACCTGGGCTGCGTGATAACCACATGAGCTCCTGACCCAGGTGAGGGGCAGCCTAGTGGGGAGGGGAGGGGTCCGTGGGCCAGTGACCGATCTGGTGGCACCGGCGAAGAAGGAGGCCCTTGGGCCCCCGCAAACCATGAGACAAACCGCATCAGGAGACTGGCCAGCGTGCAGAGCTGCCCCTGGGCTTGCGCCTCCCTCCTACAAGGGCGGCGAGGCCGGGCGAGGCGCGGCTCGCCTCCCCCCTGGCCATTCCAGGGAGTCGTTCACATGGCCAGGAAGACGCTGGGGTCTCCTGACAGGGGCGGTGCTTTCAGGGTGCGTGCACAAGCGGCCTCAACAAGCCCTTTGTCCCCCATACACTCCCCATTCCCACTGGCGCCGAGGTAGGGTCCCCCGGCCCCTGTTCAGGTCACAGCGCCTCCGCCGGCCACACCCATGTTGGGAAAGCACCCCAGAGGTGCCGTCTGGGAACCCCCGTGGGCAGCTGTCTGAGACCTGTGACGTCCTGGCTCTGCCAGATGCCCCTCTGGTTTGCTCACCGTGCATCTGCCTGAGACCGACTTTGGTGTGACGGTGACCATTCATGGAGCTGCTGCAGGGATGAGGGCCGTGTCGGCCGCACGCAGACCACGGCTCCTTCAGTATCCAAACCCTGCGCACACGGTCCGTCGGCCTCCAAAGCCTCCAGGAGAGAAAGGGCAGTAGGGAGAGCGGAGGCTGTGGCTTTGCAAGACGAGCAGCTTGTCTGAACTCAAAGCTGGGTCCACTCGGAAGCCAACGTCCCAAACACCCTCCCGGAACGAGGGCCCTCAGGACAGAAGGTCGTAGATTGTGGCCTCGTAACCTGGGGCTGCCCCCATGGCGGGGGAGGACCACGCAGCTGGCAGCCGGTATGACCCAGGCCAGGGCGCTCGCTGTGCCTGGCGGCCAGTTTTTTCCACGAGGACCGAGGACTCGTCCATTTCAGCAAGACACAGGCGAGTGCGCTCCCACCCCCACTCCAGCCCCCATACACTGTTTCCTCAGAATATAAATGGATTTGCATTCATCTTATTGTCGTCTCATTTGGGTATTTATCTTTTAAATACACCACTTCCTTGTGTGTGCAAACCATTATCTGAGTTAAAACACTGACCCTCAGGGGAGGCACGGCTTCTCCGTGTGCTGGTTTGACGTGCATCCAATAAACGTTCATCAGGGGGCTTTGCCTCCAGGGAGAGGTGGGGGAGGGGTGTGTACTGGGGCAGATGTCCCCTCAAGCAGACCTGAGCAGAGGCCCAGCGGTGGCTGTCACCCTGGCCCCTGGGCTCTGGACTCACCACATCACTGACCTGCACCCACAGGGCGTATTTTCCGTCCCCTCCGCCACACCAGTGGCCTCCCCTGCTCCCTGAACAGTGACTGTCCTGGGCCCGACTGAGGGCCCTGTGGACTCTGGTCTCGCAGAACCAGCCTGCAGCAGATGCCTCTGCGTCTCCAGGATGGAAGGTCTCGGTGCATAAAATGAATCCATCTCCGTGAGTCCAAACCTGTACTGGATCATTTACTAGGAATAAATGACTACGACTGGAGTCCGGGGCCGCAGGGGAGGGGAGGTAGCCAAGCTGAGGTGGAGCGCGGTGGAGAGTCAGACAGCGGTTGTGTGTGCCAGGGAGTGAGTGATGTGCCACCTCCCTCAAGCGCTACAATGCATTTTCATGCACATAAACTCACTTTTCAAAAATCTGCATCTCAGACGGAACTGGCCACCAGTGTGAGAGCCTGTGACAGTGACAAGACCAGGGCCTGCCTGGACCAGGTCTATCCCTAAATGGCCATTTAACTCCGGGAAGTCTCTCAGTTTCTCTGGGACTCGGTCTCTCTATGGGTCAGACAAAACCTTGATCAGAAGGAGGGTCTGGACCACACGTTCTCTGGTTTCCTCCACCCTGAGTGCCAGCCCTGCTGTCTGCAGTAACCACGTGTCCTTGGGAGTGGCCTTGGTGACAGGAAGGAGGTCAGACACCACCTCACAGAGGAAAACACGCGGTTCCGAGCCCACTACATGGCTGTGTGACCCCGACAAAGCCACAAACCTCTAACCTCACTTTCCTAATCTGGGAGGCTGCCTCGCCAAGCAGGGGACGAACAGGAAAGCACTTCTAAGTGTCAAGGGCTTATCTGAATGTGATAACTGACTATGGTCATTACTACAGCCCCAAAATTCAGCACCCAGATGGAGGGGGAGCCAATGAATTCAGCAGCCCCGGAGTCTGCACGGCACTGTCTGGGCCACAGCAGTGGAGAAGGGTTCCGAGTTCTCACCTCTGTGGGACGCCCACAGCGCCCCTGTCCCTGGGGTCCACGAACAGTGGCGCCTGTCTCCGCTATCACGGCAGACAGGCCACCCTTCACGCAGATCTTCCAAAGCCCAACAGAGTTACCATTAATATTAAAAATGGCTGCTACTTAGAAAGGTGGTCTCTGTCCTTCCGGACTTCCTACACCCATCCTAAACCCGGAACCCTCTGGAAGGAGTGGCCTTATTTTCCGGTGCACCTGGGGCTCTCCACGGCAGACGCCCCTTCCCTCTGGAATTACCGCAAGCTACGTGGTCATGGAGCGCTGCAAAAAGGCCATCTTTAGGTAAGCTTTCTTTTTCTTTCTTTTTTTCGGGGCAGACAAGGAAATAAGAAAAGGTCTCCATCCTTCGAGGAGACCATCCTCAAAGCCCACGTGTCTTCTTCATCCTCTGACGTTCCTGAACTTATCCAGATTTTAAACACTGAGTATCTTAGGCCATGGGTTTTAGCAGGAAAGTCTGTATTTGCAAAGCAAACACACTTTTTTAAAAATAATTTATTTTTGAGACAAAGAAAGATAAAGCATGAGTTGGGCAGAGTGAGAGGGAGACACAGAATGTGAAGCAGGCTCCAGGCTCTGAGCTGTTACCACAGAGCCTGATGTGGGGCTCGAACCCACAAACTGTGAGATCATGACCTGAGCCAAAGTTGGAAGCTTAACAGACTGAGCCACCAGGCGCCCCAAACACACTTTTAATTAATAGAACCTTATGGAAACTGTAGCTTGCACGGGCTGCATGTAAGCAGAAAATATGAATTTATGGGGCGCCTGGGTGGCTCATTTAGGCGTCTGACTCTTCGTTTTGGCTCAGGCCATGATTCCAGGGTTCAGCGCCTGCCTAGGATTCTCTCTCCCACAGTCTCCAGCTTGCTCCCTCTGTCTGTGGGTCTGTTTCTCTTCTGTTCTGTTTATTTGTCAGTTTTGTTCTTTAGTGTCCACACAGAGGTGAAATCCCGCGGTGTTCGTCTTTCTCTGACTCGTTTTACCTTCATTCTTTGCACTAATTTTGGCTCTTTAAAAAAATACCTTGAAAATCGAAGCAAAGGCAGCAGGAACTCTGGCGGCAGGTCACAGTCCCCAGGAGGGCTGAGCCGGTGCCCTGCCAATGCATCCCTGAGTCAGTTATGTGAAGACTTTCCTAAGGAGCATCTCTGCTACATCGGAGTGACAGCCCACATGGTACGATGAGAGCTCTGTGCTAAACCAAATCAACCACAGTACACCGAACTGAGACGCCGAGGCTCTGCTGGCCCCAACACACAAACCGAAATGCACCCCCCCAACCAGCCCCCCAGAGCTCTCTTATGGACTCTACGCACCTACAAGCAAAGTCGCCTCAACAGCAGATGTGGGCACAAGGCTAGCGTAAGTGACTGCCACATCACCAGTGACTGCAGGATAATTGCCAGAAATAAACGTCCATCTGGTCCCGCGGGCCCTGTATGCTCCCTGTTTAAATGGTCCGCGTCTAAAACACAATTTATCAGTGACTTGTGATGCCGTATCTACTTTTTTTTTTTTTTTACAAATAGTTTATTGTCAAGTTGGTTTCCATATAACACCCAGTGCTCATCCCCACAAGTCCATGTCCATCTCCCCCCTCCCCCCAACACCCATCAGTCCTCAGTTTGTTCTCAGCATTCAAGAGTCTCATGGTTTGCCTCCCTCCCTCTCCCCCACTACTTCCCCCCTTCTTCTCCCCCACGGTCCTCTGTTAAGTTCCTCCCAATCCTCCTATACGTGCAAACATATGGTTTCTGTNTTTTTTTTTTTTTTTACAAATAGTTTATTGTCAAGTTGGTTTCCATATAACACCCAGTGCTCATCCCCACAAGTCCATGTCCATCTCCCCCCTCTCCCCCACGGTCCTCTGTTAAGTTCCTCCCAATCCTCCTATACGTGCAAACATATGGTTTCTGTCCTTCTCTGCCTGACTTATGTCACTCAGCATAACACCCTCAAGGTCCAGCCATGTTGCTACACATGGCCAGATTTCATTCTTTCTCATTGCCATCTACAAGTACCATTTTGACCAAGTCATTTATGGCGCTTTCTCCTGAGTGACGCGGACACGAGACAGAGGCTGGTGGCGGGTAGGCCGCCCGAGTGGCTCTAACGTTCTCCGAGCTGCTCCCTTGCACTGACAAACACAGTGATAAGTGGGACTGGAACTGGGGCAGAGGAGGAACCCGGTTCCCCCTGCGGCCCCAGCACACTGCCTTCCGGTCTGGCGGCTGGGCTTCCGCGCGGCCCCGGGGTAGCGGCTGGCGCGGGCAGGAGCGGGCAGGTGCGGGCAGGGGGCACACTTTACCTTCTTGCGCGCAGACGGGCTTATCACCGGGGATCCAGCCGAGGGTTCCATTAGGGTGTCTCACACACAGTCTCTTTGTGGGGCCCTTCAGCTTGAACCCGTCTTCACAGTGAAACTGGGTGAGAGAGCTTTCAGGGAAGGCGCCTCCGCTGGGCGTCCTGAAGCCGTTCTCGGGGACGCCTGGGTCCGGGCACGCCTGAAGGCCATCGAACCCTACATTGACAGAGAGAAGAAAAGGTGCCTCTGAATGCGCCCCTCACGCCGAGGGCCTGCCCTGCAGTCCACACGCCGTGGCCATGCAGCTACGCAACACGAGAGACCGGAGCAGACGCCCTGCCTGCGACTCGGACAGTCTTCTGCCCATGGCCCACCCTTCGCGGAGGCTTGAGGAACGGAAGCAGGGCGCTGGCCGGGAAGGAGGCGGTGGGACCGGAGCCAGGCCCTGCAGGACACACGCACGACATTCCGGGGACAGAACAATGTCGGGGAGGTGGAGATGGCTTCCGGCAGGGCTGGCCTGGGCAGTGAACGCTCCTTCTCCTCCCTGCCCCTCGCCCCTGCCCCAGGCTCCCGAGGTCCTGGTGCCTTCCTAACCTGTGAGCCCAGCCCCGCAGGGAACAGTGTGGGAACAGCATGGCCGGTGCTGGGCCATGAGCCCTTCATCTTTTCGGCCCACAGTCCGTCCCATCCTGCACAGAAAGAGCTCCCCAGATGTTAGAGGAATGAATGAACCGCGTTGGGGAAGGGAAACCTGCTGGGGTGACCCTAGAATGCGGGGCCAAGCGAGGAGGCAGCGGGGAGCCACAGAGCAGGGCGCGTGTCTGAGGTCTGCAGACGTTATAACTTGAGGGGGAGGCTGCGCAGAAGTCCGAGCAGAGGGGAGGGCAGCAAAGTGTCCTTAAGTGATGGTGTCATGTCTCTGCTTGGAAGGAAAGCCGACAGTTGAGTGCCTCTAAGTGATGCTCGTGGTCCATTGCCTGCAGTCCGGCAGCCTCGGGGCGGCCCTGGAGGGGTGGCGAGGGGCAGGCGAGGCCCCAGCCAGCAGATGCCCGCCAGCCAGAGGGGATGGACCTGTTGGGGAGGTCGCCGTGGGGGAGGGGCTCCTCTGACCAGGGGGACCTGAAGGAAGCAGAGTGGGGGGCGGAGTCAGGAGGTGAGTTGGGCCGGCGCCGGAGGCGGAGTTGGGCGGGGGTGGGGCAGGGCCGGGGGCGGACGGGCAGCGCTGTGAGCCCAGGGCTTGGACACGGTGTGGCCATCCGGGAGTCAAGCCAAGAACAGAGTCCTGTGCTGTTAGGGGCCGCTGGCACATGGCGTCACATTAATGTCAGCCACATAACGCAGTGAGCCGGCAGTGTGCACGCGATGATGTGGTCACATGAGCGGAGCTGCCGTCGTCACCACACATCACTGACACCACCACTGCTATGCTCCCTGTGCTGTGACTGTGCTCCCTGGTCCCCCCTCCCTGTACCACTCCCTGCACCCCTCCCCTCCGGCAACCACATGAGTTCTTCGGATCCTTTGCGTTTTGATTCCACTAGCCTATAGAGTATTTGTTTCTCTTCACTGAGCACAATACCCTCAAGGTCCATTTATATTGTCACAGATGGCAAGATTTCATTCTTTTTATGGCTGCATAATATTCCATTGTAGGTATAACACTTTTTCGTCCATTCATCAGTCAGTGGACACTGGGGCTCTTCCCGTAGCTTGAATAAATAAATAAAATACTCTTACCGTAGTATTTACAGTAGTAAATAACCCTGCAAATAAGCACCCGGGTGCGTGTATCCTCCTGAATTAGTGTCTTCATTTTCTACGGGTAAATACCCAGTAGTGGAATTACTGGGCCATAGGGTAGTTCTATCTGTAGCTTTTTGAGGAACCTCCACACTGTTTCCCACAGTGGCTGCACCAGTTTGCATTCCCACCAGCAGTGCAGAGGGTTCCCCTTTCTCCACATCCTTGCCAACATCTGTTGTTTCTTGTGTTGTTGATTTTAGCCATTCTGACAGGTGTGAGGTGGTCTCTCATTGTGATTTGATTTGCATTTCCCTGATGATGAGTGATGTTGAGCATCTTTTCATGTGTCTGTTGGTCATCTGGAAGTCTTCTTTGGAGAAATGTCCATTCAGATCTTCTGCTCATTTTTTAATTGGATTGTTTTTTGGTGTTATATGAGTTCTTCATATACTTTGGATATTAACCCCAGAGACTGAGAGCATGAACAAAGACATGACAGGGACCAGACTCGTGCCTCGGAACAGCTTCTCCTCACCCAGGCAGAGGACAGACATGCACAGAGCAGGCAGGAGGCAGGAAGACCACCAGAAATGTGTCCCAGACACCAGCTACACCAGGATCCGGGGACAGTTTGTGAGAGGCAGACTTGTGGACCCCGGTGCCTCGGGGAGGGGGGGGAAGGGGCAACGGGCTGTCCTTCTAGAAAGCTCTGCAAATAGCTCTGAGGCAGCCAGTCCAGCACCTGGGAGGGCCAGCAATTGAGGTGTGTGGAGCCTCAAGCTACTGCAGCTGTCCTGGCGAGAAATGATGGGCCACAAGAGGCAGGAGTGGTGTGGAAAGGCCACAGGAGATACTAACTTCGCAGATGCCTGAGTTCAGGGACAGAAGGGACGGAGAGCACAGGAAGGTGTAGCAGGAGGCAGGCAGGCAGCTGGGCAAAGGCACAAGACGCACCCACTGGCAGAAGATGAAGGGCACTGGGGGTGTGGCTGAGGCAGGTGCAGGGCTGGAAGGGTCTCCCGGGGGGAGCCGCCGGCCCAGGTTGGGGGGACAGGTTGGGGGGATGGCGTGGACAACCGACCCCATTAAGCAGGACAGTCGCTGCCCACGGCCTGCCAGAGTCAAGGTGCCACTTTCCGAAGTCCCCAGCCTGGGGGTTGTCCCCGTCCTCTGCATTGTGGGGGTCGGCACACCGATGCACACTCACTGGGGGCGGGGGCATGGCCTGCCCAGGAGGTCCTGGGAGCCTGCCCTCCAGGCTACAAATCCTGCGTATGCTTTGGAAGTGAGCGGCCACGGTTTAGGGAGGAGAGAGTTCACAGATGATTTCTAACACCTTTCTTTTGGGGGAACTGGAAGAAAGGGAAAACACCTCCATTCTAATGTTTAAAAATTTTTTTTTTATTTTTGAGAGAGAGATAGAGACAGCATGAGCAGGGGAGGATGAGAGAGAGAGAGAGAGAGAGAGAGAGAATCTGAAACAGGCTCCAGGCTCTGAGCTAGCTGTCAGCACAGGGCTCGAACCCACAAACCGTGAGATCATGACTGGAGCCGAAGCTGGATGCTTAACTGACTGAGCCACCCAGGTGTCCCAAAACACCTCCATTTTAATAAGTCCTGGGAGGTGGCACCCCTGGCTGTTCCTCCTAAATTCAATTAAGAACGCTGCATGCATGCCCAAGGGTCAATCCACGTGACAGTCCACCTCACATGTCCACGTGACCAAGTCACGGCGCCCAGACATTTGGTCACATGGTATTCTGGATGAGTCACCACTTGAGTCCATAGACCGAGTATAGCAGATGGCCCCCCCTGATGTGGGTGGGCCTCATCTAATCTGTTGATGGCCTGGATAGAACAAAAGGGTAAGTGAGCAAGAATTGTCTCTGCCTGACACCTCAGGCTGGCACATCAGTCCCCTCCTGCCTTCAGATGTGGACTCGGACCAGAGCCCACACCATCAGCCCTCCTGGGTCCAGGTTGCCAGGGGGATCCTGGACCTCCCAACCTGCACACCCACATGAGCCAGTTCCTTGTAGAGTGTGTGCATGTGTGCATGTGAGTGTGCATGTGTGTGTGCAAGGGGGTGTGCACACTGCACACACATGTGCGAGAAAGCAGGATGGAGGGAGGAATAGACCTCACCTCCTGGCCCCGTTTCCTCCGGGAACCCATGCTCCAGGGGATGACAGACATTGTTTTTCTCCAGAACCAAGTCCCAGGAAGCAGCCTGCTGGGCAGTCCCGACCTGTGACAGCCCCTTGGTGAGGCATCCCCTCTGCTGGCATGAACAGCCCTGCCTGGCGCCTGTGACCCCAGGAATCGTCTGGGAAGCTCTGTACTTAGGGCTCTGGCTTTTGGCGGAGCGGGAGGAAAAGGTCTCCTTCCCTTTTCTTCCAGCCGCGAGCTGTGTTAGTGGCAGGCCCCAAGGGTCCTTCACACACAAAGAAATGGATCAAAACCTCAGGCTCATCGTGAGGTCCTGACACTTCCCTCTGGCTACTTCTGAGTCTGTTGAAACCCACCAAGCAGTTTAACTGTGAGCAACGTAAGAAGTCTCTGAAAAGAATCCTAAAACTGAAAGAGGCGTGAAAAGCAATCTTTGGGCTTTATTATAACTGAAGAGTCCTGTTCGAGGAAGGAGGACTATATCCAATGCGGCCAAATCGATTTAGAACTAGGGCCGCTTTCCAGCTCTCTGTAAACTGCTGTGTGAGTCTTTGGAGGAAAAAACAGAATACACACACAAAAATTGATTTTTTATGCATTCGTTTAGAGAGAGGGTCCTGGGGCAAGTGAGGGAAGGGCGTTCCGGCCAAGGTTTAAGCAGACGCGTCTGCATGTTTGAGCTTGAATCCAGGGCAGCCCCGAGCCCTGTTCCCAGCACTCCCAGTCAGGGTCACTCCCCAGTGTCACTGGGCACGAGCCCTCCCAGGGATCAGAGTTGGAGCTCTGATGTCCCGGGGGGAGTCCGGGCTGGGGGCAGGGGCCAGAACCACACCCAGGCTCGAGCTCCTGGCCCCCATGGGCCCCCACGGGTCCCCAAGCACCAACCACTCCCATTGCCACCCCCGGGGCCTCTCCTGGTGTGGCTCACATGTGTGGGTGGCTCACACCTTCACGATTCTGCAACGTCTTTGAGGGAAAGAACGTTTGTAAACGTTTTTGGGTCTCCTTAGCTGTCAGGACAGGACAAAGCAAACCACAGTGGTGAGATGCTAGTGCCTCCACAGGACACAACCCTCGTGGTCCCGCAGTGCGGACATGTGCCACTGCATGGTGTCAGCGAGATGCCTCACCTGAAACACCCGGACCCCGGGGAGCCGGCCACCGAGCACCCCCTGACCACAGTGTGGCCGGTGCCACACTCTGGTGCCAAAGTCTCTCCCAGCCCTGGACAGTGGGGGACGCGTCCTCAGAGGCCAAGAGTAAAGGCAGGAAGGTCGTGGGCCCGAGGAGTCCTTCTCCAC